TCAAGCAGGCCTAGGCCCAAGGCTAGCTGACGCGATTTTTTTAGGCTAGGCCCAGGTAGGCCTAGGCCAGAATTTGAGGAATGCAACAAAACAGATGAAGATGAGACTTACTGTAGGCCTAATTAAATTCAATAGTTGCTTTGTTTTAGATTAAAAAATAATAATGAACAAATCCTGGCGACAAAGTGTCGATCTGACTGTACCCAGCCGCATTGTTTGCCGTAATTTCACATGTTTAACGATTACCACGTCTACCACGATGAATGTGTATGTCACCGATTCGTGTGCACTCATTTATTTATTTTTTGTCCATTTACACATTATATATCAATTATAAACTAAAATAAAAAATTAAATTAAAAACTTAAAATACAAAATGAAAACAAAGTAAAGAAATAAAACATAAATCAGGTTTCGTAAATTTTTAATAATCTTCCTGCCCCGGATCATGCTTTCATAGTAAAACACTTGAATGGTCACGATTTCAACTTTAACCTTTGAATGTGTACAGCAACCATGTCATGCCAGCCCACAACGTTCGCTATGACTCATCTGGGCCTAGGCTGTTCAGTTAGCGATGAATAGCAGGGCAGTGCAGTATTTTGTTACAATTAACGTAACCACGGAAACATTTATTGTATTCTTCTTGTCTTTATCAATTTAGCTTGTCTATTGTGTTTAGGTAAACTAATTATTTTGTTACAATTTGTAAAATGTTGATATAATAGTGGTGGTCGGGAGCCTGTAAATCCTGGTCGGAAATGTCGAGTGCTAGACGGGCCCGTCCACCGCTGACTAGCGTGGTGACATCCCTGTTACCAAAACGGTCTGTATAGAGGTTTGTAGGAGATGAGGGATGGGATAAAAAAAGAAACTGAATACGTACACTATTGGTCTCCTTGCAATTTGGGGCTAATTTTTTTGTGGTTTGGGATTGGAAGGAGGATCTTTAATTGGAGTAAGACACGTGATTAAAATAAACTACTGCACTATGTATCATTTCAAGCTCACAAGCTTCATTTACTTATTTAATGTGTTAAAAAAGGTACAAATCACAACAACCGACATTGTATCACCTTGATAGTAGTAGTACAAACCACGAGGGGAGGAAAGTTTGTAGTCAACCAAGCGTGAAACGGTCGTAGTGGACGTGCTATGGAACTGGCGGTCGTATAACTCCAAAATCGTGCCGAAAAAAAAAATGATTTTATTTTAACTTTAAAAAAAACTTTTAAAAAAAAAAAAAAAAAAAAAAAAAACACCTGCCCCTCATTTATCGGATTTTAGGGGATTTTTTTCTAATTTCTTGAATTCTTTCAACTGCCAAGTGATAAAGGGATAAGAACAACAATAAAAGTAATAACAGTCGGCAACAACAACATTAACAGATATTTTTTAAAGGTAAAAATACTTTACGTACTGTGTGCCGTGTTACTGCAAGCATTTATTAATAACAACAATCATCTTTATATGGTACATGTCGGAAACATGTGGAGTAGCCTATTACTTTCAAACTGTCAATGCCTGGAATCATGATAAAACATTTTCTACGAACTCACTGAACATGTGGGTGTGACATTAACATTTTTGTTGGGACCTTCAGTCAATGATTTACAATACATATTTTCACATGAACAATATCCAATTGTTACACCTAAAGAATGGGATATACAATGTGCGAAGGCCTACAATATTTACTTAAAATTGCTCAGGTTAAAATGCTTCATTGAAGTAATTCAATTAAATTTGGCCAAGTGTAAAAAAATAACAATGTTTCCTGGTCCTTTTTGAAATACCTATAATATTTTTAACATGAACTCATAAAAGTTCACTTATCTTCATTATGCAACAAATGTGTTTTAGATAGGTCTAGCAACAATATGCAAATGTTTTGGACGTTATGCTATTCTAATTTTTGGGAAGAGACGTTTTCAAAATCAACAGACCCATGAAGAGACCATAGCTCCTAAGCAAGCAATGTTTTATTTATACAATGATGGAATAAACTGCAAAATGGCCGAGCGGTTAAGGCAGGGGCACCGTGACCATACCCAACAATATCGGCACAGGTTCGCGGCTGGCTTGCTTCTATGGTTCTGGTGGTGGAACAAGTCTTCTCGGATAAGTACTATAAACCGTAAGCCCAGTGTACACAAATGCTCATGTGCACTTTAAAGAACTCAGTACATCCTTCGAGATGAGTAGGGCATTACCCCGGTGTACTGGTTCACCCGGCCCCTGTTATGGACTGTTTTATGTGAACTGGGCCCTCTAGGAGAACAGTAATCTGTTACTGAAGAGGAAACCCAGTATAAAGAACAAATAAAAATAAACCTGAGGATCAAAATAATTGTGACGGTTGTTGTTGAAGCGAAGGTCCCCGGGCCGTAGTATTAGTGTAGGCTGGCCCTGCTACAGGTATACTAGCTTTATCTGTTGTCACGTTATTAAACAGGGGTCCCAATTTTAAAAAAGTAGACCTAATTTCCAGAAGATCTGTCTAAACAAGCTTTCTTTTTTGTTTTACTGCTTATGGGGTATACCAATTGACACTGACTTCTATGAGACAATGAAAAGGGGCAACACAGATTAGTAAAAATATGCAGATTTAATGAATTAGCGGGAGATGGGTTATAAATTCTGGGAGATTCTGCTCCGGTTGTGGGAATGCAGAAGGCCATCCCGATTTATTGTTTACCGTAATTTGAAATAGAACCTGCAAAGCAATCCAATACTAAATGGAAGTATAGAAATCACTACCTTGCCGAATTAAGGCTAGTCATGCTAGACCGCATTTACTTCGTTAT